AACACATAATAAAAATGATGTTTAAGATTCAAAACTATAATCAAGAACTACATTGATTAAATTTTATCGAGATTACCATTTGTTTACCAGATGAGATTGTGTTTCAAACCCAATCCATGCTTTCCAAGAACTGATTAGCGACCCGTTTGGATTTTTTTCATCTTTGGATACGCCCTTTTCCCCAAGTTCCGCATCCTCTATCGCTCGAATTTGTTGTTCAACCATTTCGGCACCAATTCGTCGTCCAAATCATCATGAGCATCATCATCATCGATTTCTTCTTCACTCTCATCTGTATCTTTAAGAATAAGAAAATGAATGAGATTTTGAAGTAGAAAATGAGAAAGTGTTAGGGAAACAAGAGTGAAACCTTGAGGTTGTCAGCAAGGCGAGGTGAGGTGAGGTACGGCGATCATCTATTGTTGCAGAGGCCAAGGAGAAGTGAGAGCGTTTTCGTTCTTGAAAAAAACCCTCCTGCGTTTTTGTGGAATTTAGTAGTGCGCCGATATAAAAGCCCTAGTTCATGGGTGCGCACTTGTGAGGTACTTGAATTGTTTGGGGATTTTGTTTCCCCTATTAGTTGCATGAAAGACGGACGCGCGTATTAAAATTTTATAAAACGACATCTCTACACGACGTCCACTTAAATTTAGGTGCCTTCCGTGTTTTTAATTTTTTTTGTTGGACATTAATTTTAGGGCACGCACAAATGCATGTCCTCTATCCTTCAAATTTTGCAAAACTGACATTATTTTTTAGGGCACGCACAAATGTGTGTCCTCTATCAGCGTGTGTCATTGTTTGCGCATCATTAAAGGGTTGTTTTCTAGTAGTGCCTATTGCTCTAAGAATGCAAAAATGGATAGAAAACCCCTATGTGGTTGAACTCTCAGATTCCGATGAGGATGATGATAAAGAAGACACTTATGAAGACGTTGGCGAAAAGAATAGTGAGGATGCTTATGAAGAAGGCTCTGGTAATAAAGAAGAGCTGATGACGAAGAAGACACATATAAAGATGAAGAAGAATCAGCCACTGATAAGGGATAAGACTCTGCTCAGGGAATAAACTCTCATCCACGGATAAACAAGCACATTCGAGTTTCATCTACTTCCTCATTCACTCCATATGCAGATGATGTTGCACAATGTGGATCAAACCCTCCTATTATGGAAACTGTTGAACCAATGATCCAAGATAAGTCAGCTCATCCTTCTCCTCAAGCTGAGAATGTTCCTTCTATTCCAACTCCTATCATGACTGTTGACCATCATCAGGAAAATCAAGAAGAATCTAGCACCAACTTTCAAACTACTGTGCTTTCCCAACTTTCTCTAATTGTGTATATTACTCAATCTCTGGGAAAAAGGTTGAATAAAGTTGAAAGGGATGTGGCTACAATGAAGCGAATTATGGCTTTGGATGATGATGATGATGATGATGAATGATGATGATGATGATGATATGGTTGTTGATAACACTCCACCAAACTCTCTAGGTGATAATCTTCCTCCACCACCTCCTCCACCATCTCATCCTCCTCCAAGAACTCCTCCACCACCTCCTGACTCTCCTCCCTAATTTGATGTTGCCAAAAAGGGGGAGAATAATCAAGGGGGTTCTCAGCCAATGCAAATGCAGGTGATGATTGTACCAACTCCATCTCAGCTTGAGATGACCGTAAGCGTTAAAGCTGAAGCTGATCCTCAAAAGCAGATTGTTGTTGCTGATATTCCAGACGCTGATGCAACAATTGATCAACCCATTCAATACACTGGTGACCAATCAGAGACTGATGACTTTGAAGGGTTTTCTTGATCTTGGTTTCATGCCACAAGTTGTTGTTCCCGCTGTTCCTTTAAATGTTGTTTATCCTTATTCTTACTTTGAGGGGGAGATTTGTCAACAGGTTCCTCAAGGAACTAATAGTGACATTGACTCTAATGATGATCAGCTCAATCCTCGAAAGAGGAAGACTTCCTTCTCAGGGGGAGCTAATGACGTTGAACCTGGAAGTTATTCTGATGCTGATGGTGGTGATCCTTCAGCATCTCCTCTTAAAAAGAAAAGCAAACTCATATTTGATCTAGATGAATTAGCAGAAACATGGAGGTTACCTATTGAGGAAGTTAGAGAGATCATGTTAGAATATAATGTTGCTATTTGTCAAAAGAAACAAGCAAGAAAAGAAGAACGTCTGTCTGCCAAACTTGTTCAAGCTCCTGCTTCTGCTGATGAGAGTACTAATGTTCAACGCACTGATAATTAGGTCAAGAAAATCTTCAATAATAATGTGGAGAAACAACACATAGTTTCAGACCTGAATGACTAGATCGATACGAAGAAGTTTGGAGAAGTTCTTACTTGCAGATCAAAGCCTGATCCTATTGTCAAAGTGAGATGCATCAAACTAAGAAACGAGTCCCTGAAGCTTCACTTGGTCAGAAAGAAGTAGAATATAAATACATTAAAGTTGTCTTTGCTTGTGAGCTAGTCAAATTTGGCTACAACGAGTGGATGAATACTCAAGAAACCATTGACAAACACAAGGGTATTCATACTCAGGAAGTGAAGTTGGCAATTCTGCAACTTCTCAACAAAGTCAAGAAGCTAAACCTTGTACCATCAGCTGGTCCATCTAGACCGTCATCCTCAAGAAGAACAGGTGCTCCCAGACAGTCCAAGAATACTAAGTTTCTTCTTTCTTATGGAACTCGGTATACGAACAATGAATTATCAGTGGGTGTTGAAGCAGTCCAATATATGTTCATTCCAGAACCAGAGAATGGGATATTTTATTTTGATAGTTAGAATCAAATGTGCTTTCAACGCACTGATGATCTTCCTTCTGCTCCCACTGACCATTTGTTTCATCTTCGCTTGGAAGGACTTGGTCACTATGAACTGGAAAGAGGGTATCGCGTGCTAATATCTTTGGAGCTTAGTAGAAGACTTGATAAACTTAAAATTGATCAATTTAGATGGGTAAGCCTGAGATCTTGAAAGAAGCTGACAAGTTCTACAATGGCTCTTCTGATGACTCTTAATAATATTAGTTTTGACATCATCAGATAGGGGAGATTGTAAGGTTACACCTTATGATCTGATGAGTCAAACACTCTACACTATCTGTCAGCGTCAGCGTATTGTCAACCAGCGCCAACGTACCAAGCTTATCAGCGTCAGCGCATAGTATAGTTATTCTATTGTAATCATTTGTATATTAGACAATGATATAGATAAGTATAGAATAGATATCAGATCCGGTATCTTTGTTATGAAGATCGGTTCTTAGTATAGATAAGATAGAATCCCTCTAATCATGGGATTGATATGTATAGATTTGTATATAATCTACATTAGGGTAAGCCCTAATGTAAAGAGAGTTTGTCTTTGTGACCGTCTTTGTGACAACCCGTATTCTTGGTGAAGACAAACCATTTCTTAGTGAAAGAACAATTTGGAGAATTCTCTGTGCCATTTACTTTCTTTCCTTTATTTTCTTAGACTAAGTTTTACTTTCGTCTTTATACTTGAAGTGTATCCAATCAATACAAACCTTCAGAGCCCCACATTTACTAGTTAAAAGAATCTTGTTGGACAAAGTCGAGCCAACGACTTAAAAAATGGGTGGCTTTCCAGGAGGCAACCCACGTAGTTTTAGTTTATTTATCTGCTTTCAACAAAGAAAGGGTCGCAGTCCCAAGCAAGCTTGGGGAAATTAGAGAATTTTCAAAGTTGCTGAAATTCAGATTTTTCGCCAACAAATTCGTCAAAATCAGAAATATCTGCAAACTTATCAGGTACATTCTTTCCTAGCTGCAAACTTGTATTTGTATATGTTTAATTGAGTTGTTCATTCCTCTCTGCGAATTGAGAACAATGCATCATTTTAAGCTTGGGGAGGGGGTTAGTGAAAATTTACATTTTTTGTTAACAACCTTTTCAGTTTTTAAGTAAAAAATTTCAGTTTTTCAGTACAATTTTTCAATTTTCCTTCTTGCATTTTATTTTCTGCATTGCATTCGTTTAAAAAAATTCAAAAAATAGCTTATGTTTATTTTTTCAATTTTCTGCATTTAAAAAAACCCAAAAAGAATTTTATTTTTATTTTCTGCATATATAAAAAAATTATGAAAAGAAAAAAAATTACATGATATGATGACACTCTTGCATTCGATAGCTCTGTATAAATGGAAAATGAAAGTCTGAAGTGATAAGGTAGATAATGGTAAGTTCAATAATAGTTCTCATAACTAGGGATCGCAAAACATCGTGATCTGAGATGCCGACTGTAAACAATAAAAAGAATGGCATACTGAGACACTGTGCAGGCGGTAATAACAGTTCAAAATTATTTGCTTTGGAATGGTTAAAAAGAACATTGCTTGATAACTCTGGACACAGACCAATTTGTGGACATGCGTTACTTTCACGGTAACATAGAACCTTATATCAGATCCACATAGTCAAAAAGAAAGGAAGGGTATAAATATCATATCTGACACCTAAGTTAAATTTCAAGCATTTAATCGAAGAAATCTCAAGAAATTCAAAAAGATGATTGAAGAACTCAAGCTAAAGATAAAAATACAAAGAATCAAGTTCAATCAATTCATAAGTCATCTTAAAGTCAAATCTGGCGTGAATGAAGAATTGTGTGATATGATATTTGTCGTTCTTAGAAAAGTGAAAGCATAAGACCAGGGACCCTATGGGTGGGCCCACTGCTTCAGCGAAATCTGATTTGACGTGCCGGGTTCTTAAGGATACGTCAAGCCTGGTTCTTAATTATCTAGTCTTGAGGACCAGAAATTGTGAAAATTGTTATTTTCGCTTGCAAGGCTAATTAAGGTACAAAGATTAATTTAAAGTTACAATTGGTTTATTGGTTCACACCGTCCAGCTTCTTCTTGAATTTGGGAATCTGTGAAAGATGGAAGGTATCATAATGATCATCTAGGTAGTGATTCCATTGGAGCTTCCCTCGATGTTAAGTCTGATCATGGAAAAAAAGAGTGAAGTATTTTTAGTTCAAGTTTTTAGTTTCCTTTGATTTGTTCTAAGTTCTTTTTAGGTCATCTACATCTTTCCATTTGTTTACAATGTTTAATATTTTTATTACTTGAGGACAAGTAAAGTTTGAGCTTGGGGAGATTTGATAGATATAATTTTATGCATCTTTTAGGGTAGTTTTTATTAGCATTTAGCATCATATTTTACA